TGCCTCAGCCAGGAGAACAAAACCCTGCTGTTCCTGCCCTCAGGAAGGGGAACGCCCCTCAGCCAGCCGAACTCCGAGGTGTTCTGGACAAAGCTTCCTCGGGTGTGGCTCCCCAACCACAGGGCCTCCAAGCTTCAAATCTAGGGCGAAGCAACTGGCAGCATCCCTACACACCTGGAGAGCAGTTTCTGCACCCGCAGCGCTGTTGTTCGGAGGTAGTTCTTCGGTCAAAGACTCCTTTTGTCCCTGACTTCTTCCCAAAAGGAAGACCACAGAGTGTGTCTCCTTATAAAAGGAGTAGTTTTTCTTTGAAATTCCTTTAAGATCCCTTATCCTCCTCCTCACCTCGAATAGGCACTAGCTGGGGAGAAGGGGGACTGTTGGGCAGAAGGAGAAAAGCACTCTGTCCGCTCCTACCTACCCCCTACCTATCCGGGCAGGACTTAGGGCCTCTAGGGTTGCAAGGAAGGCGCCCGCTACGAATAACCGGCGGTCTCTGGATTGCGCGTGGAGGAGAATCAGGGCCCGGGTTTCAAATGAAGGCCGGTGCTTGGTGAATCTTTAACTCAGAAAAGCTCCAGGAAAAAAAATTTCTCCAAAGGGAAATGTTGCCTGTTGTGCTATTATTAACCAACCCCCTTTTCCCATCCTTCTGCCCGAGTCAATTAAATTCAACCCTGAACCTCCGACCAGGAAAAAGCCTCTAAGTAGAAACCACAACTAGAGAGGACCACCCCGGCTGTGAATCCTGGCCCTTTGACCTTGCCGCCCCCCCCTTTGTCGCCCCCCACCCCCACCCCTGGCTTCCCATTGCCGGTGCTCCCGGCCGCCGAAGCTACTGGGCCAGCCTTCCAGACTTAAAATGAAGTCGTTTATTTCAATTTTGCTTTCACATTGTGTTCCGATACAATCAAAACTCCTGGACGAACCTCTTGAACAAAAGTCTTGCGAATGAGCGCAATCACCAGTCCTGCACACCCGGGTAATCCGGCGGGTGGACTCGGAATTCAGAGGTGGTGGTATAAAACTGCTTCCAATGGTGGTATACACTGCTTCGGGAACTGCGGAGCCGACGAGGGTTGGGGACATCCAGGGACAGAAGGCGTGGGAAAGCTGACAGGCTGGTTCGGGTCTTCGAATTGGGATGAATCCTGATGCGTTTGGAATTCGAAAAACCCAAACTTCACTCCCAGGCCAATGGCTGAAGCCTGGCCTACCACGATTTCGGGCAAATTTCATAACGTTTGCGCCAAAGCAGCGAGCACGGGCGAAGGCAGGGCTGGCCCTAGGCCTTGTTCAAGAAGCGCGGGACTGGCTTTTCCAAGAAGCCTTTGCGCCTGGCCTTTCTCTGGTGGTATTCTCCTGTCTCTGAATCTTGCTCGCCCTTCGGACACCCCAGGCCCCTGCGACCTCACAACTGGGGAAGATGCGGAGTTTGGAAAGCTGTTTCAGAAAAATAAAAGTCCCACTTCGACTTTATTGGATCAAAGCAAAATTAAATCTTGGCTATTCACACGTATGTTACAGAGGACGAGGAAGCGTCCGGAAGAACCTCCTTGTGGAGCCACAGAGCACGCGGGCATGGACAAGCATCAGAACATCGAGCAGCCTTAGATTTCACGATCACTCCGAATAGGACATAGAAATACAGAAATACAGCCAGTTTCCACTGGGAAGAGTTCTTCGTGTACAAATGATAGATATTTATGTATATTTTAAACCAGTCACCACTACGGTGAGTCCTTTCTCGGCTAGCAAGCAGCCGAGGATACAGAGTATCTTCAGCTAATTAACTCATGAGCGGTGTTTTAAGAAGAGCAATACTTGTCAAGTTAAAACTACCTCCCCCATTCCAAAGCAAAAACAGAGAACAAAAAAATTTGACCCCCTCTCCAAACAAAAAAGAAAGAGGAAACATGTTAGGGTTCAATAAGTGGAAGGATTTAGAGGAGGGACAGGGAGAGAGATTTTACATTATTAGTTAAGTACAAAGTTTCTTTTAAATAAATTGTTGGGAACAGAACATGGGGGTCAGAAACAATGACGAGGCAGTCACTTGCTTGATCGCTGAACCTGGAATGGGGAGGCGAGTTTATTTTTGGAAACGTGAGTGCGCAGAGCTAAGCGGAATTTACTTCTCCTAATAAGGAAATGGACAAAGTTGTCCAACCGCAGATGCGCACATTTTTGCCCAGATACAGCCAGCGAACATGTAGGAAGTTTCAAGTGGTGCTACTTTCTCGCCCTCTTAATTTCAGACTTTTTCTCCCCCTCCTGTTTTCTCCTGCCTTCCCCCCTCTCCTGGCCTCCATCCAGGCTTTGGGCCATTCAGAGGGGAAACACGAGGAATCCAGAGAAGGTCGAGTACTTCCAGCCCCCCATCAAGTTCCCCCGCTCCAGCTTGAGGTATGCTCGGTCGCCTTTCTCCATTTGAATTAGGACTCCGTTGCTGGCGGCCTCCCGCGTCACGTCCTGGTCGCCAGCGAATGCTGAAATCACTGGCCACCCGTTTAACATGAGGCTCACCTAGAAAGAGAAAAGCCAGCTTCAGAGGTGCAGCCAAGGCGGGTCCGCAAGCTGCGGTGGAGAAGCGATCCTCCTCCGCGCTTGGATAATAGCCGCCAAGGACTGGCTGGGAGGGTTTGGCGAGAGTAAGGGGGCTTTGCAGCTTAGGCTGAGGGTCCAATGGGGAAGGAAAGACCATAAACCTGTGGGAGAGGAAGGGTCTGCCTGCTAAATGGGATTCACCTTCATTCCAGTTCCTCAAATGAGCGCCCCAAGTAAATCCCCTTGAGCCTTAACCAGCGGGTGGCTTTAGAGCTCCCTGAGACCTTTGACCACTTTGCTTTCTCTAGCCTCAAAGAGAAACTCGGGCAACTCAGCTTCTGGTGCCCGGAAAACAAAAACAAACAAACAAAAATCCTGGTCCCTCCAGGTCCCAGTTGCCGGGACTCTGTGGAGAGGTAATGAAGAAGCGGGATAGGGCTTCTGGCTAGGTAGACATCACAGGCCAATCTGCACTCTGCGCTTTATCTCTGAACCACGGGTTCAGTGCCCGCCCCAGCTCTGGCCGCGCCCGCCCCTGCCTGGTTTTGCCCTTGCTGCGGCAGCGTCAGTCCAGAGCCAAGCGTCCTCGCCCCGGCAGCGCTTTACACCTCGGTCTGCGCTCAAAGAAAATATGGATCTCTTTGGAAACCTGGGGAGCCTGCAAATGCTGAATGGAACGTGGCTGGAGCCAGGAGGGAGTGGCACTACGCCCCCTCCCTTCTCTCTCCACCCTTCATCCGACAGGGTTCGGAGTTGCTAGTTCAAAAACCCACGTTGGTCCGCAAAGGGATGTCCGCACCGGGCGTCAGGTTAGGGGGAAGAGCCTGTCCGTGGTGTTGAAGGCAAGCATACAAGCTGCCCCGCAGGCTTCTAGGCTGCGGCGAGAGGTAGGGAGTACAGTCGGTGGTGGAGAAGGCGGGAGTCTCGGGAAGCTTACGGAAACGGGAGCTGTCTGCGGTGCTAGCAACAACCAAGACAGAAAGTCCCCGTTCGGAGGGGCCCAGAAGGCGGAAGCAGAAAACTGTCTCTGGGGATGGGACTGGGTCCCAAGAGCCAGCGACAGGGAAAGCAAGGGACAGTCCAAGTCACAGAACTGTGAGGCCCCACTATCTGTCCCTCGGAGCATCCTGGGGTACATGCAGCTGTCATGTCTCCCACCTCTATAGAGCCTGCGCACCCCCGAGGCTAGCAGTCCCCTACGGGGGCCGGGGCCTGGCCCCAAGGCGGCTGCTGACCTGGATGGTCTGTCTGTTGTAGACTTTTACCACGTGGAAGTTAAAACTGTAGATCCCTTTGCGCGGGGCGATGAAAGTGCTGCGTTCTGAATCAAAGTTGTTCCCGATGTTCACTAGTACCTATAACGAAACGGGAACCAAGGGGAGCGGACAGGATTCAGTCCCAGACGGTCATCCCCGCGCCTCCGCAGAGCCCTTGAACAGGATGGGGCATCCGTCTTCCATCGCTCCCCCCACCCCCCACCAATCCAATCTGCGTGCCGCGGGAGCAAGAAGCACTCACCTGGTCGAAGTAGATGATCATGGTGCGATTACTCATCTCGGACGGTTCGTGGTTGGTGCTCCTGATAGCGGAGAAAGCCACCTTGGCGCTTCCGGAGCGCACAGAGATGCCCAGAGCTGTGCCCGTGGGATCCGACGTGGGGTTGGAGTCGCACACCACCAGGCACTTGCCCTCGAGCACGATGGGCTCCGTCTCATTCTGCCCTCGGGCCGGGCCTGCCAGCCACGCAGCCCCCAGCAGCAGCAGCTCCACGACGCCCAGCATCGCGGCACCCGCGCCCACCCCGCCCCCACCCCGGGGGCTGCCTGCGCCAGCCGCCCCCCCTCCCCAGCCCTGCTCCGAAGCCCCCTCCTCAGCTCCGTGCGCAGCTTCGCCGACGCCGCCCCGGACACAACTGCTGTTTCTCGCACTATGGGACAAGCGTCCCTCCGCGCGATGTTCTGGGAGCCCCACCCGGGCCTCAGGGGTGCCGCGGCTGCCCAGCCGCACTTGGATGCATAGCCGCTGCTGCTTGGTCCCCGCTGTTGCCGCCGCCTCCTGCCCGCATCCGCCGCTGCTGCCGCCGCCGCCGCTCTGAATTATTGATGCAGCAGGCGCTGCAGCCGGAGCCGGCGGTGAGCGCGCGCCGGGCACAAAGGCGCGGACCGCGGCCTGGCCCCGCCCCCGCCCCTCCTGGCCCGCCTCCTCCTGCAGCCCCGCCTCCTCCCTGGATGAGGCTCCGCCCACTATCCAATCCTGACGCGCCGCGCTCCCCGCCGGGCCAATGGCAGGCCTGTCCGCGCGCGGCCACCTGACCCTGGGCGCCGATGTTATTAGGCGCGGCAAGGCGGGCGGCGCGCGGCAGCAGGGTTGGGCTCTGGCCGGGAGTCGACTGAGGGAGCGAGGGCGGGGAGCGCGCGCGCGCGCGCGCGCGCGCCCTCGTCTGGACCGTCTGCCGCGGCCGCTCGCCCTCTCTCCTCCCGCCTCACACCACGATTCCGTTCAGCCCCCTCGGTCCTTCCCGCGCGCCTCCCTCGCCAGCCCTCAGGTAGGAGGCGGCGCGCGCCACGGTCGCTAGTAGAATCGCGGAGGACCTAGAGGCGCCCGCTGGTGGGTGCGCGGGGTGGAAGGGGAGCGCCCCCCAGTGGGCACAGATGCGCGGGGCAGCCGGAGCGCGGGGCCAGTCTGTTTAGGGGCCGGCCTGGAGGCCTGGCTGCAGAGCGCGTGCGTGCGCGACAGGGGCGGGGTCTGCGCCGTGGTCTCAGGGGGAGGCGCACGTGGCGCAGTGGGGTGCCGGCTCTCTCCGGACTCCAAAGACTAGCCTGGGTGTTCAGGCTGGGCGCTGGGGTTTGAGGATCTTGGTAGTTCCTTCCCCAGCTCCTGGCCACTGGGGTGGAGCTTGGCCTCCCGCTCTCGCCCACCCATCAAAGCGCTGGCTCTGCGGGCTCCGGAGGGCAGATGGAGCGTCCATTCCTTCACTTACTCATTCGTCGCTTATTCAGGATAAATTATTGAACCCGTATGAAGTACTAGCACTGGGGTGGGAGCTGAGGATGCGGTGGTGGGCAGAAGAGAATGAGGCCTGCCTTTGAGGCCAGGCTTCGTGCCCCTTACAATCCAGTGTGCAAGGGAGTAGCAAGTACGGGGCATCGCGCACAGGCTGCTTACTTAATAGTTTTTCTCTTTTGCATTTAAAATTTATATTTGCATCCGTATTTTTGTGCACCTTTACTGCATGCTTTATCCACGTGTACTTGCACTTCATTGCCTTGAGCGTTGACACCAAAATAATTTCTGGACTATTTTTCGAGGGTCATTTTGACCTCAAAGGAATTCTCTCCCCCCTCTCTTAGACTTAAAACCAAATACATAAACATGAAAGTAAAAATATGGGTTTGCTAACTGCCGGAGAGAGAGGAAATGAGGAGGAGATCGGAAGAGAAAGGGAGCGCCCCAGCTTGGGTGTGGGATGGCGGATACCTGAAGGATGGACGCGCGCCTTTAAACCGAGGGAGGCTGGAGAGCCAGCGGATCTGTCAATTCCAAAGCAAAGGTTCCTGCTTCAGATCCCAAGCAAAGGCGAGTCGGGGATGCTGACTAAGGGACTCTTGGCGCTCTGGTCTTCTGCCGGGTCGCCTTGAAGCAACCGTGTTCAGCCAAGCCATCGACGTGGTCCAGTAGTGGGCTGGCGCCGACCTTGGGATCTGGAGAGACACGGGGCCCCTGCTGATGGCAACTACCCTCCGCATCAGGACTTATGGTTGACAGGGTCTGCCGTCCCTCCTAGAATAGTCTCTACCCTCGGTGACAAGCCCTCAGAATCCCCAGCAGCCACACCTGTCCTCTTCTCCATCTCCTTTGTTTCTTTGAGACTTATTTGATAGTTTAAAGACCTACCAGGAGAAACCCCATCTCCAACCCCCGCCTCTGGCAGAGGCTGGCCGGGTCACTGGGTGAGCCAGGAGAAAGGGAAGGGGTGGACAAAGAGGCAGCCGTTTACCTTTAAATTAAAACAAGAGTATATTTTTCCAGCTTCTGTCTTTTTGAGACATCCCCAGAAAGCATTGCCAGCTGTGATCAGGCCTAATGTGAGAGCACTGGCAGCGCCAACCGTGGCAGGTACCTGGAAAAACACCTGTGTAGGACCAGTCTCATTCTCTCAGTGCCCTGGAGCTAGTGACATTGTCGGTCATTCCACAGATGTTTACTGAGTGCCTCCTTGTGGGGTTGGGTCCAAGAGCCAGAGATTTGGGGGGTCGGAGGTAGTGCTGTTTTCATGGAGCGCCCAGGTAGGACTAGTATTACCTACAGGCAGGTGGTCACCAGCCTCTTGGTTTTCTCTTCATTGAAGCTCAAGCGGGTTTTGCTGGGCCCTGAAATGCCATGTAGCAGCCAGTGATCCTCCATCTTGTATTTCCATCTCAGCTTCTCTTTGGTCCAGACCTGTCATTTTAAGGGCCTGCTAGACCTCTGTGTTTACATACCCTGCAGGCATGATTAGATCCTTCCTTTTGTCTCTCTCCCTGTCTCCCAAACTCAGCCTCTCTTATTTCCCTACCTCAGTGACAATGGCTGCACTGACCTAGATGTGAAAAGTCTAAGGACCCTCACATCTAGCCTGACTCTGTGTTCTGTTGTTTGAGCCATTCTCATAAGGCTGCCCATTTGGGGTATACCACCTCTAGACTGCCTACTTACACCAGCCTCCTAAGGTGTCATTCAGGAATTAGTGTCTATTCTTTTTTTAAAAATTTATTTATTTTTTAGTTGTAATTGCACACAATACCTCTATTTATATGTGGTGCTGAGGATCGAACCCAGGACCTTGCACATGCTAGCCGAGTGCTCTACCACTGAGCCACAACCCCAGCCCCAGTGTCTATTCTTTCTTCTGATGAATATCTATTAAGCCTTGATATAAGGAACCTCCACTTTTCTCCCATGTGAGGTTTCAAATCCATCACTCTCCTAGATTTCCCCGCCCCTTTCCATATAATATGTGTTCAAAATCTAATGTATATTAATTTAAAATGTTAATAGATGTCTTACTGAATTTTAAGGATTAAAGGAAGTCGTGTATGAGGGAAAAGCCCATTAGAAACCTCAAAATTAGTCTTGTTAATTTTTGGGCTTCTCCTGTTTGTGGAGTCAGGATTCTTTTAGCTGCAAGTGACAACACCAATTCAAACTAGCTTAAGGATTTCGTTTATTTTATGCAAAAACTCTAGGATAGGTCTTGCCATTTAAGGCATGGTTGGGCCTGTCAGTCAAGGTTACCAGGATCTCTTTTCCAGTTTTGGCTTCACTGTTAGACAGATTATTTCCATATGATATCCCCTGAGAAAGTACTCCCAAATTAGACCTAGCAAGAAAAAGAGGGTACTTTTTTTGGTCAATATTTGCAGCTAAAGTCCCATAACTGTTCTTACAAGGATTGTATGAGTCACATCCTCTCCCTGAATGTGAATGGACTGTTGGTTGACTAAGATTGGATCCAGCTGCTCTCCCCTAAGAAGGATTTGGTGTTTGCTCCTCATGGTCTAGAGTAGAGGGAAATTAGAAAAGGGATGCTGGGCAGGCAGAAGCCTCAGACATCTACCCTAGATCTTCTCAAAGGGTCAGCAGCAGTACATTCTACACATAAAAATAGTGATGAACAATGATGGAGTAGCTGAAAGGATAGATGTGTTTGTCGTGGTTCTTTTCAGTCTTCAAGACTCAGGTAGACATGAAATTAGATACTGTCAACCATGATATTATTTGAGGTTTGACTTTGAAGTCAATGTCCCTTAAATGGTAGACCTCCGTCAGTATAAATAAACAATTGTAACATTCAATTCTAAAAGATTTTAAAAGCGATATTTTGTAGGAATCAGTTTTGTCTTTTATTATTAGGTTCCTAGAAAGGTGAAAATTTCGTTTCTTTATGGAGAGCTACGTAAAATTCCTCATTATTCCTTAGCTAATGAAAATCTTAGAGTCTAAAAAGGAAAAGTATTGAATCTCATTGTTTCTGAAATGTGTGACCATAGGGTTTAACTTTCTAAGGTTTTTCAGGTGTTGGAATATTGGTAAAGTATATAAAGGCCACTTCTCTGAAGCTTTTTCAGTAATGTGTTATGAAGATGTAGAGAACTGCAAAATAACAAATAATTTCTACCATTGCTGTTATATTCTTCACCTTTGGCTTTAAATGGGGCTTTACATTTTGGTGAAGTCAAAGGTTTATTTCCTCAATATGCTTTGAATTCTCCACCACAGTGCATTTTGAGAAGTGAATGTAGTAGCAATCTTGATTGATATTTTATATTCATGGCAACCCACTTGCTCCCTACCCCACTCTGGAAGGGGGGAACCCTCTGTTGGGATGAGAGCATTTTCAGGAAAAGGGAATACTTTCTCACAGGATATGAAACAAACTCCTCTTTTTATTAAATCAAAATGGATTCTCTAATGTTTATATATATCAAACAGGATTTCATCTCTTTTAGTCTTGGTTCAAAGGCCCAGACAGTATCCTTCCTAGGACTTGTTTCATTTGCTCTTAAAGCAGATGAGAAAGTCTACTTTGTTCTGAAGACTGTTAAATTTAGGTATCAAGGGTCAAGGTCATTTCAAGTTAATGCCTAGATATACAGTATAAAATATAGGAATGATTCTAAGCTGTATGAATTGTGAAGTAATATTTTAACTTTCACCAATACCTCCATCTTAATGGGTTTGCATTTCTTGCCAATTTATGTTTATATTAAATGCAACGTTTTTGCTGTTTAAATTTTAAAAGTTGTGTTTTGAAATTAACTTTGTAATTGGACACCTTTATTAAATGCAGGAAAGGCAGTATTAATTTTTAACAAAGGCCAGGTTTTGAATCTTTGAAATATTTTTTTTGATCTTAAAAAATCAAAGAATACATTTAAAATATCTTTAGCTCTTATGTTAGTATCAAGTATGCATTTTTTTTAAGCCTGTGTTCAGAAGGAGAGACTGTATGTCTTCTCAATTAAAAGATGCTGACACCATTTTCAAAATGATGCCTAGAATCTGCTGTGGTATGTGCTGGCAGGAATTTTGTATGAAGCTGTTATTCAAGTAGATGACATTAAGGTCAAGGGAAAAAAACATAATATAATCCTACAGAGCTGCTCTTGAGAGAAAAAAACACATAGGTAACATCAAACACTAGTTGGAATGTTTCCAATAAGTAATTATCTGTGCACTGTTTGGGATGGTTGATTATGGGACAAACCAGGGTTTAGCCAATTCAGCAAACATCCACAGAGGGCCCACAATGTGCAAGACCAGGGTTCATGTGAGCCACTGTCAGCAATGCAAAGCTGAAGAACCCACATTATGACTCTTCCTTCCAGTTTTACTAAGAAGTCTTCTTGAAAGTAGTAGTTTTGATTATTCTTTGTATTTGTCTACCTTTATCCTATAACCAAAAGACAGACAAAAGTTACACATATAAAATTAACAGATTTGAGAGCATTCATACAAATATTTCAGGGATGTACTTCAAATGCATCTGGCATTTATCAAAGCAAC